TCCTCCTCCTCCTCCTCCTCCTCCTCCTCCCACCAACAGACTGGTTCGAGAAGGACAATGGGAAATTGCAACGGGCGGTTGGGTAATGAATGACGAGGCTGCCTCCCACTACGCGGCTACGGCAACTCAACTCACCGAAGGCCAGCATTGGCTCATGGACAATCTGGGTACGTCAGGTTCTCGTCACTCCTGTCTCCTCTCGTGTGCATTCTCCTTTTTTGTTACTGCTAGCAGACTGGCTAGTGGTGGGGAAGAGTGTATTCGAACAGTACTGATTTTTGAGTTGTCTTGGAAATAAAACTCGGTAGGGATTCCTAGTGGGGTCGCCTGATAAATAAAAACCACTTGAACATTTTCAGTCGGTCGAATTTCCACGTATCCGAACACTTTTTTTAAAATTATGTTAGCCACCAGTTGTTCTCATAGTTTTCTTTCTATATAGGCTTTCTTTTGTCCTTTTCGCAACATTTTCACCTACGTTTTCATTTCAGAAAATAATTACGAGCGGCTTCAATTTATTTCCTACTGTGCGCTTATCACGCATTATTTATGCATTAATCAAGCATTACAACTGGAAGCATGAATTCCGTAAGATATTTGGGCTGGGAGACTTTTGCCATTGAGTGACCATACGATGAGTCCCTACCTGAAACTCTTTCGATGCGGTATTGAAGCAAAGGCCACATCGCGGAGAAGGAGACAAAATCGCTGAAACAAGAGCTTTATTAGCCTCACGTTTCGGACTCTCCCTGGAACCTATCATCAGATTGCACTGGGAACGGGGGCAAAGACTAGGCCTTATTGTTCAACTGCCTCATTTTTCGCACTCCGTGGGCCTGCCTGCAGAGGCACTGTCACATTACTAAATACGAAGAAATTCCTGTGTGCAGTATTCCCTCTAGCCGCTTTTCCTGAACTTTGATTGTTTGCCTTGGCAACGATGTTTTAAGTTAGGCAATTGCTGCATTGTGCTATTTCTCCGCCTGTTTCAGCTCTAAACGATATTCAATTGATCCATTTGTGAGAAATTTGCGGCTTCGGTGGGAGTCGAACCCACACAGCAGAGAAGGCTTTTGCGCAGCCAATGCTCCACCACTGAGGTACGAGGTTCGCTCTGAGCCGTGAATTTAATCACACTTGAGTCGATTTACCCGTCCAACTTACCGCTCGTATGAAATCCATCATTATGGATGCAGTAAGCTGAGTGCCTAGGTGGGGTTCCCCAAACAATTATTTAGAATTCACCAGAATGACAGCCAGGCTCACTTAATTATTAGGGAATTTTAGCAGATTTGACTTATTCAGTTGACCAAGTTGTGAAAAATTCGTGGCCTCACAATTGGGTCAACTGAATTATTCAAATCTGCCAAACCCTCCGAATAATCTAGGTAACGTTTCTTTAGTTTTCATCTGATCTGATTGGCGGCTTGGATGGAATTCGAACCCACGACCGCAAGCGCAAGGTCGACGCTCTGACCACCTATGCTACGAGACCCTGATAACAGGTTATCCGCTCGTAAGCTGGCGAATCCACAAAAATTCGGATACATAAAGCCGCCGCCGAAGCAGAATTTCCTAAACCATAAATCTATTATCACCAAAATTGCTATAAGTCTCATTTAATTAGTAGATGATATTGTAACTTCTCAATCTATCGAGGCTGCCGAGTTTACCACCGTTGGATCACATGTATTACTAAAATCCACCAAAAGACGATTATTTGATCCTGGTAGTCTTCTGGCGGATTATAGCTGGTTTGCTTATGAAATCTTACTTAGTCTATCAGGATTAGTAGATTCCGATCGTCGAGTTTCTTAACTTATAAGTGATTAAACTGTCCCTTTTGGTTAAAACCCCATCGAGGCCGTTTTTTTCATAATTGGGGCAGACGAATTATGCATGTTTGCTAAAAGCACCTACTAATAACTGAATAGTTACAGGTCTCGTGTTTACTAGGTTGTCTGACTACTGCCAAAGTGCCCGTTAGTCAATCTGACTATTCGATAAGGCCGTGTTTCAGGCTCTTCCTTTGGTGCTCAACAACATTTTGAGCAATCTTAAGCTGCAAGTAACCAAAGACAGCGTGCTATCCATCTCCAAAAACTCTCGATAATGCACACTGCAGGAGAACTGTAGGCTGTCCCAAAATTATTTGCACCTTTTAAAAGTTAGATAATTTCTTCAAAATTAAATATTCAGCAATAATGTTTATTTATTCCTCAACTTCGTTGGTTGATGATTTATTTTTAAACAAACTTTGTGCCTATAGTTTACTTTACAGAATAAAGGTATAAAATAAAACTCAATACCTGTAAAAAAGAGTGTCTGGAATACTGCTGGCACGAAACTCAGAGTACACAGGTCGAGGCGTAGGTATGTTAGAGGCCGGGAAGAAGTGGATAGAGATTGCTAAAGCTGTAGGTGTATATATCAAGGCGGTCAAGTATTGGTGGTCGCAGTAAAGCAGACAGGTACCCTTACGAAGCAGAACTCTGGAAGACCAAGTATTTTAGGAAGAATTGAAAAGATCATAATTGCAAAATCCATTGGTAAACCAACGCAAAATATAAGAAAACTCGCAAAGGAACTGAATGCTAAAGGCTTCAAGAGTTCTTAGTCCAGTATGTACCGTTATTCATGGGAATTTGGGTGTTACCGCCTATCACAGAGGGGAAATAACCAGACTAAAAGAAAAACAAATCACAGATGAGCTGTCATTCCGTAAGATTGTCAGGAGGCGAACTGCAGACGACTGAAAACAAATCTTCTTCTCTGATGAATCGCTGTATGAACTATTCCATTTTCCAAACACAGTAAATGACGTTATTTGGACTTCAATTCGTAACATGGTCGGTAATTTTGAAGGTCAAAGCTTTAGCCAAGGGGTGGCAACCAATTTCCTTTGCAGGGCTATCTGACCTCCATAATGTACCACAGGGTCCATGATTGAATGATGAATATTATGGACAAGAGATCCCAAAGCAAATCTGCTTAAAAGATTGGAAGAAATCGTGGCTCAAAATGTGAGAACAAACTTGTTACGGAAATGTCAAGGATTATTTTTATGCAGGACAGATCCACAGCTCTGGAGACCCAGAAGTTGCTGTCAGGGGAAATTCCACGTTTCTGGAGGAAAGACATGCGGCCAGCAAATAGTCCTGGCTTGAGTCCAGTTGAAAATCTACGGTAAATTCTTAATAATATGGTTTCCGATAAACTACCTGTTCCTACTAGTGTTGCTGGATTAGAGAGATCCCCGTTGAATGCTTGGAGAAATAACCCCTTGGAGACCATCCAGAATCTCATTTATTCGATGCCAAATAGGGTAGAAGCTGTTCTGAAGGTCAAAGGAAAATTCCCCTTTAAGTAACTTTTGAAATATAGATTACTTTTGAAACTGTGGGTGAGTTATTAGGGTGCAAAGAATTTCAGGACACCCTTTACTCTATTCCTCGTAACATCGCAACAAGTATGCCAACATGTCCCTGTAAATCTCAACATGGATATTTTATCAAGGTGTCAAACGTCCTTACTGGTCTGTCATATTGATGTCTGCGTGTCATTCAATCCTCTATAATATTGCGTTTGATGTCGTTCCTTGCCCACTAGTTACGCGCCTTTGACTCCGGCGGGTTCGAGGTTTTAAATTTTCCCTTCCACTTTATTTTTACTTTTCTCTCAAAAACACACCCAGCCTACTATCCCAACGTCAGCTGGGCAATCGATCCCTTTGGACACAGTACCTCAGAAGCCTACCTCTTGCGAAAGGCTGGTTTCGAACACATTCTCATCCAGCGTACACACTACGAGATCAAAAAGATATTCGCCAAACAGAAGAGCCTGGAATTTCGTTGGCGTCAGCCCTGGGGTGCGTAACTGACCAGTCCTTTCACTTTCCTTGTTACCTTTGCATGGTTTCGCCTACGCTTATTTTGTTTCATTCTGCCCTCACTAGATTCGGTAGGGTCGACAGAGCTTCTGTGCCATATGATGCCCTTCTATTCGTATGATGTCCCACACACTTGTGGACCCGATCCTGAGGTTTGTTGCCAGTTTGACTTCCATCGACTTACTACTCACTGCCCGTGGAGGAAGCAGCCTGTTGCGATCACGAGCAACAACCTAGCCGAAAGGTTCGTCC